TACGCCACTGCATTTTTTACATGTCATTGTAACTGATTTATATTTTAATGCACAAAATACGTAAAAAAGGTGACTTTAATTTTTTCCCTAAGATTCGCCGTTCTCAAGTTATTCATACCAATACAATCCCCTTGTGGCAGACACTTCTAATGATAATATTACAAGAATATTTTTTTGTTTAAAAGTAAGTGCAATTTGTAAGCAGATCAACAAAATTATTTACACTCCTTTCTACACCACCTGTGCGGTAGCGTGCAATATAAACAAAAAATCATTTTTTTTTTATAACCCCAACACCCTGTATCTCCAAAACGGGGCCGTTCCAGACCTATGTTTATAAGGCAAACACATATTATTTTAAAGAGATCTATCTACCCCAGAAGTTTCCTGCATAAAATTCGGACCACCCTGTATACTAATATACAGGGTGTCCCGAAATTTATGCAACAAAATTTGGTCATAGATTCTTAAGACAAATTTAGGGAACCCTTATTTTTTATTTTTGCCAAGTGGCCCCCTCTTTCGGAGTTACAGCCCCCTGAAGTCCGCCCCTAAGAATAATCTTTTTTATATATCTCAGAACCCTGTTGTACGAGAATCACTAAATTTGATATACAGGGGTTTCATGACATGTGGAATCTTATGGTGCTACATTTTTTGGCGGGGAACCCCCTTAAGACAATTGTTCGTGGGCCCCCTTGTCTTTGGAGCCCAAAAAAATTGGTCGCATATTTAAATTTCTTAAAAATTATCAGCCCACTAGAAAGGCATTAAATTTAGAAACTTTTTGTCTCTTTATACTTTTTTCGTAAAACGCAATTTTTTCGAGATGTGGTCGAATGTATATTGTGATTCGCCATTTTTCTCAAAAACATTGCGTTTTACGAAACAAATATCAAGAGACAAAAAATTTTCTAAATACACTGGCTTTCTAGCTAACTAATAATTTAAAAAAAAATCAAATTTGCGACCAAATTTTTCTGGTTCCAAAGACAAGGGGGCCCACGAAAAAGTGTCTTAAGGGGGTTTCTCGCCAAAAAGCGTAGCACTGTGAGATTCCACATGTCATAAAACCCCTGTGTACCAAATTTAGTGATTCTCGTACAACATGGTTTTGAGATATAAAAAAGACTTCTTAGGGGCAAATTTCAGGGGGCTGTAACTCCGAAAGAGAGGGCCAGTTGGCAAAAAGAAAAAATACGGGTTCCCTAAATTTGTCTTAAGAATCTGACCAAATTTTGTTGCACGAATTTCGGGACACCCTGTAATGTATGAGTAAAGTTTAGTACAAGGACTATGGCCTTTAGATTATTGAAATCTGTGTTATCATCAATATCATTTGTTTTATAACCTTTTGGTGCTCTTTCGAGCACTGATCGAAAATATTTATAA